ACAAGCCTGGTCAAGCAACTGGCTCCTTGAATTTAACCCTGCCAAATGCAAAGTCATGAAGATTGGGGAAGGGCAAAGAAGACCGCAGACACAATATAGTTTAGCTGGCCAAAGTCTGCAAACCTCACTCAAGGAAAAAGATCTGGGGGTGAGTAAAACACCGAGCATATCTCCTGAGGCGCACATCAATCAGATAACTGCTGCAGCATACGGGCGCCTGGCAAACCTACGGATAGCGTTCCGATACCTCAGTAAGGATTCGTTCAAGACTCTATACCATTTACGTCAGGCCCATACTGGAGTATGCAGCACCAGTTTGGAATCCACACCTAGTCAAGCACGTCAAGAAATTAGAGAAAGTGCAAAGGTTTGCAACAAGACTAGTCCCAGAGCTACGGGGATTGTCCTACGAAGAAAGGTTGAGGGAAATCGGCCTGATGACACTGGAGGCCAGGAGGGTCAGGGGAGACATGATAACGACATACAAAATACTGCGCGGAATAGACAAGGTGGACAAAGACAGGATGTTCCAGAGATGGGACACAGACACAAGAGGTCACAATTGGAAGTTGAAGACTCAGATGAATCAAAGGGATGTTAGGAAGTATTTCTTCAGTCATAGAGTTGTCAGGCCGTGGAATAGCCTAGAAAGTGACGTAGTGGAGGCGGGAACCATACATAGTTTTAAGGCGAGGTATGATAAAGCTCATGGAGCAGGGAGAGAGAGGACATAGTAGCAATCAGTGAAGAGGCGGGGCCAGGAGCTATGACTCGACCCCTGCAACTTCAACTAGGTGAATACACACACACACACATACACACACATACACACACACACACACACACACACACACACACACACACACGCACACACACATACACACACACACACACATACACACACACACACACACACACATACACACACACACACCACACACACACACTACACACACATACACACACATACACACACATACACACACACACACACACACACACACACACACACACACACACACACACACACACACACACACACACACACACACACACACACACACACACACACACACACACACACATACACACACACACACACACACACACACACACACACACACACACACACACACACACACACACACACACACACACACACACACGCAGCTTCAGAGGAACTATCAGAGACGCACCATTTTATGAGTACCTGCGGAGGTAAAGGAACACAAATAACCCGCACATATGACAACCTTACAACGACGTTTTGGTCCGACTTGGATCATTTACAAGTCACACTAACAAAGGAAGGAGAGGGAGCCAGATTATAATCCGGCTCCTTCACCTTCACGGTCTGAGGCACTGTGCTGGGTCTACTGGTTCCTGCAAAGAACTCAAGCATATTTTTTTTTCTTTTTTTTTTTGACGAACAACAATTTTTATTTTAATGTCACACTTGTGATTAAGAACTGTGTCCTGGTCAGTTAAAACTGTCAAGTTTATACATACCAGAACTTAAATTTAAAATGTGTTGTATATCATGATTTATCTATCAGTAAAATACTACTACTACTACTACTACTAATAATAATAATAATAATAATAATAATAATAATAATAATAATAATAATCTGTATGTCGACAAGTACATGATACAACTTGTACAGACCATAGCTGACATTAATGACATTATATAAAAATATTCTGGTTATGCAGAGCATTTCGGGCAACTTAGGTTAATCTTGTCCCCCAGGATGCGACCCACACCTGTCGACTAACCCAGGCACCTACTTGCTGCTAGGTGAAAAAGGACAGCAGGTGTCTTAAGGAAACACGCCCGAATGTTTCCACCTGTACCGGGGATCGAACCACGGACACTGGGTAATAGAATTACATAAGAGGAGATATTTATAAATCACAATAACATGGGTGGGAAAATCAATCCAATATATACGTATAATGACCAGTATAACTTAAACGAAAAAACGGAACACTGGCCAGTAGACGAGACACGTGCTAAACCTTCCGCCTACACAGCAGGCTTCTTCAGTTGAGTACAGAGGAGGCAACAGAAGCAGTGGAGATATGAAGACTGGCCAGTAGGCCTGCTGCAATGGGCCAGTAGGCCTGCTGCAGTGCTCTTCCTTTACTGCAGATTTATGTACTTTTTTTAGGTGTGGGGTGAAGTGGCTTCCCAGTATGTCCAAGATAAGATTTATCACAGCTATCACAGGGTGTACACAACCTGCAGATATTTTAGGAAGGTTCATTAATGAACTTGAGTTGTACTGCTGTGTGTTGTTGTTCTTATTGTTGTGTTTAAAAGTAACTTCTAAATTAAAGCTTTTCCGACCACCTCCCTGTGTTGTGAACTCTGAAAGATGTCAGTATATAAGACAACCAATACGTAAGTAAGTAAGTAAGTAAGTAAGTAAATAAGTTTGTTTAGGTACAGGTACATATAAATACAGTGGACCCCCGCATAACGATTACCTCCGAATGCGACCAGTTATGTAAGTGTATTTATGTAAGTGCGTTTGTACGTGTGTGTTTGGGGGTCTGAAATGGACTAATCTACTTCACAATATTTCTTATGGGAACAAATTCGGTCAGTACTGGCACCTGAACATACTTCTGGAGTGAAAAAATATAGTTAACCAGGGGTCCACTGTACGTAGTAACGTATGTATAAATCACTCTCCAGGACAACTCCTCCTCCAGAGAAAAATGTCAGACAAAGTGACTTATTTTCACAGTGACTTATTCTCTGTTATGCTGTCATAAAAATAAGACACGTGTGCAACATCTGGGTATCTTGAATGCAGACGTTTCGCCATCCAGTGACTTTATCAATACAGATTCTAGGACATAATTTGAAGACAGAATGACTACAAAAGATGAGGTAATCAGTCCCTCAGTGTTGATGTTGGTGTGTAGAACACAGTAGTCGTGAAGGATCTTTGTTACGACACTGTGTTCTTCACACCAACATCAACACTGAGGGACTGATTACCTCATCTTTTGTAGTCCTTCTGTCTTCAAATTATGTCCTAGAATCTGTATTGATAAAGTCACTGGATGGCGAAACGTCTGCATTCAAGATACCCAGATGTTGCATTTGTGTCCAGTTTTCATCTTGCAGGTACTGCATACCATTCATATGCAACAAGCTCTGCAGAGAATTTCGGGAACTTAGTTAATTTTGTCCCCCAGGATGCGACCCACGCCAGTCGACTAACACCCAGGTACCTACTTACTGCTAGGTGAACAGGGACAGCAGGTCTCTAGGGTTTAATGATTTGAGTAGTCGTGTAAAATTGGTGGTGGTAAGGGAGGGAGCTAAGGGAGCGGTAGGGAGGGAGAGAGGAGGGGAGAGAGAAGAGAGGGAGGGGGGGGAGGGAGGGAGGGAGGGAGGGAGGGGGAGGGAGGGAGGGAGGGAGGGAGGGAGGAGGGAGGGAGGAGAGAGGAGGGAGAGAGGGAGGGAGAGAGGGAGGGAGAGGGAGGGAGGGAGGGAGGGAGGGAGGGAGGGAGGGAGGGAGGGAGGGAGGGAGGGAGGGAGGGAGGGAGAGGTAATATGGTCAGGGTGAGTAGCAGCATCATTGGCATTGGACAGTCAGAAACATGGTACCATGGGCAAAGTTGCGTCATCCGTTGTAAGAAGCACATGCTTGCCACCCTGTACCCACGACCTCACCCCACGTCTCCCACGCCTCTCCCTCCCTTTCTCTCTCTCTCCCACCAACTCTTCCTCCCTTCCTCACTCCCTCCATCCCTCCCTCACTGGGTCACCGACGTCTTCCGTACCTTATCATCCTTCCCGGTAATACACTTAACATGTATACACACATCTTTATATGTAAGTGATGCATCTCTCTCCTCTCTCTCTCTCTCCTCTCTCTCTCTCTCTCTCTCTCTCTCTCTCTCTCTCTCTCTTCTCTCTCTCTCTCCTCTCCTCTCTCTCTCTCTCTCTCTCTCTCTCTCTCTCCCCACTAGTTTTACATAAAAAAAATATTTATTGCTTAGATCATGCATCATATACAACACATCACCATACAAAATTATTACGGAATTAGTTATTACGAAACACTGTAAACCTGCCAGCATTAGTGGGGTCCGCCCACCTGTATCGCTGCCTTCAACTACTGCACCTCACCACTTTCCCTCTACTGATTCCAGCATAAAAGTCTCCGTATTCGAGCCTCTGTATCAGACTCATCCAGGCTGAGTGAGGGACTGAACACCTTGAAATTACTTCTGAACTAAGAAAGTCTCACCCACGCTGATGTAGCCACTGTTGCCGCACTTTTATGCGGAGGTAACATCTCTCTGTTAGTGGGCTGTTAGTACTGTTAGTGGGCTGTTAGTACTGCTAGTGGGCTGTTAGTACTGCTAGTGGGCTGTTAGTACTGCTAGTGGGCTGTTAGTACTGTTAGTACTGTTAGTGGGCTGTTAGTACTGTTAGCGGGCTGTTAGTACTGTTAGTGGGCTGTTAGTACTGCTAGTGGGCTGTTAGTACTGCTAGTGGGCTGTTAGTACTGTTAGTACTGTTAGTGGACTGTTAGTACTGTTAGCGGGCTGTTAGTACTGTTAGTGGGCTGTTAGTACTGTTAGCGGGCTGTTAGTACTGTTAGTGGGCTGTTAGTACTGTTAGCGGGCTGTTAGTACTGTTAGTGGGCTGTTAGTACTGTAAGTGGGCTGGGACTTTGGAAGGTACTCAGGTAGAGAACCAGGTTCCTCAGCTGCCACATAGTGAACATGATTTCGACATGTGTATTTTCTTGATCAAGGGTTTACCGTGTTCTTCTTTCATGGTCATAGGTTCTCCATGTCCTTTCTTGGTCATGGGTTTTCCATGTCCTTTCTTGGTCATGGGTTCTCCATGTCCTTTATTTCCCTGGGCATGGGTACTCCATGCACCATCACCGTGGGTATCCTGTTTTTGAGATGATGGTAAACGTTGCAACTGGGAGAGACGAGTGTGTAGACAGTGTCATCATGGTGTAAGCGCCCGGAGGAGGTATATAAGGCAGGCGAGCTCAGTCTTCTGCAGCAGTCAGTCCGCGACTCTCGCGCCGTCACCGCTTTCTTCACGCCCTCGCGCACGTTCACGGTCGCTCTAGTGTTATCAGTCGTAGGGAAGCCCCCAGCCAGCCTACACTTGCCCACCTGTGGTAGCCCACACCTGCTGCCTGCCTGTGGTAGTCCACACCTGCTGCCTGCTGAGTGTAGTGTGATGCCTGAAGTGCCGTTGGTGGTGCTGCTGCTGCTGGCAGTGCTCGTGCCCGCCGCCTCCTGCAGACACGTCGCCTCCGCAGACGCGGGCCGTCGCACCTTCCGCCTGCCGCGACATGCGCTAGAGACATCCCTGGACGACACTTACGACACCAGCCGCGTGCGACACGCCCTCCGCGCCCTGCTCGACCTCAACGACGTCGAGTTACAGACCCTGATGGCGGGAGCACCAGCTGGCACCCCGGCGCCCCGTCTGGCACCCTCCACCTCCCTCTTCCTCACCAGCAGTCGCCGACACCTCCAGAGACTCCACACCATCCTTTCCACCTCGCAGGAGGCCACTCCACCGCCTCGTGACCTCCCGTGGAGGCCAAGAATCACTAGACATCCCAAAAAGAAGTCCAGAGAAGCTGAAGAAGTTTCTACTGAAGGGGAAGCTGACGAGATCCTGGGGGCGCTGAGGGAGGTGTCAGCCTATCTAGAGGGCATGGAGCAGCAGGAAGAGGAGCAGCAGGAGGTGCAGCAGCAGCAGGAGGTGCAGCAGCAGCAGGAGGTGCAGCAGGAGGGACGGGTGCAAAGACGAAGGAGGTCACACCGAGGTCATGGTCACAAGCATAAGACACTGCAAGCACACGGCTCCACGCAGTACGAAGCTCATCATTACTTGTATTATCTCAGAGCTGGGGGTGAGTACCGACCCCCACACCTGTGTTCTGTTGACCCTTACACGTGTTCTATTGACTCCCACACCTGTGTTATATTGACCCCAACACCTGTGTTATACTGAGACCAACACCAGTGTTCTATTGACCCCCTCACCTGTGTTCTATTAACCCTCACACCTGTGTTCTATTGACCTCCACACCTGTGTTCTATTTACCCCCTCACCTGTGTTCTGTTGATCCTCACACCTGTGTTCTAGTGACCCCCCTAACGTGTGTTCTATTGACCCCCTCACCTGTGTTCTATTGACCCCCATCACCTGTGTTCTATTGATCCTCACACCTGTGATCTAGTGACCCTCTTAACGTGTGTTCTATTTACCCCCACACCTGTGTTCTATTGACCCCCACACTTGTGTTCTATTGATCCTCACACCTGTGTTCTAGTGACCCCCCTCACCTGTATTCCATTGACCCCCTCTCACCTGTGTTCTGTTGACCCCCCTCACTTGTGTTCTGTTGACCCCCTCACCTGTGTTCTGTTGACCCCTCACCTGTGTTCTGTTGACCCCCTCACCTGTGTTCTGTTGATCCCCTCACCTGTGTTCTGTTGACCCCCTCACCCGTGTTCTGTTGAACCCCCTCACTTGTGTTCTGTTGACCTCCTCACATGTGTTCTGTTAAACCCCCTCACTTGTGTTCCGTTGACCCCCTCACCTGTGTTCTGTTGACCCCCCTCACCTGTGTTCTATTGACCTCCTCACCTGTGTTCTGTTGACCCCCCTCACCTGTGTTCTGTTGACCCCCCTCACCTGTGTTCTGTTGACCCCCTCACCTGTGTTCTGTTGACCCCCCTCACCTGTGTTCTGTTGACCCCCCTCACCTGTGTTCTGTTGACCCCCTCACCTGTGTTCTGTTGACCCCCTCACCTGTGTTCTGTTGACCCCCCTCACCTGTGTTCTGTTGACCCCCCTCACCTGTGTTCTGTTGACCCCCCTCACCTGTGTTCTGTTGACCCCCTCACCTGTGTTCAGTTGACCCCCTCACCTGTGTTCTGTTGACCCCCCTCACCTGTGTTCTGTTGACCCCCCTCACCTGTGTTCTGTTGACCCCCCTCACCTGTGTTCTGTTGACCCCCCTCACCTGTGTTCTGTTGACCCCCTCACCTGTGTTCTGTTGACCCCCTCACCTGTGTTCTGTTGACCCCCCTCACCTGTGTTCTGTTGACCCCCCTCACCTGTGTTCTGTTGACCCCCTCACCTGTGTTCTGTTGACCCCCTCACCTGTGTTCTGTTGACCCCCTCACCTGTGTTCTGTTGACCCCCTCACCTGTGTTCTGTTGACCCCCTCATCTCCCTTCTTTCCCACCACCTCCTCCTTCACTCACCCCATATGAACATCTGTCATTATGACACCTGTCATCGTGACACCTTTCATTATGACACCTGTCACGACATGTGTCATTATGACACCTGTCACGACACGTGTCATTATGACACCTGTCATCGTGACACTGGTCATTAAGACATCTGTCATTATGATACCTGTTATAAATGACAGATATCATTTATGGCAGGTGTTGTTATTGTTATATTATTATTATTATTATTATTATTATTATTATTATTATTATTATTATTATTATTATTATTATTGTTGTTATTGTATTATTATTATTATTATTATTATTATTATTATTATTATTATATTATTGTTTTTATTATTATTATTATTATTATTATTTTTTTAATTTTATTATTATTATTATTATTATTGTTATTATTATTATTATTATTAATTATTATTATTATTTGTATTATTATTATTATTATTATTATTTATTATTATTATTATTATTATTATTATTGTTATTATTATTATTATATTAATTATTATTATTATTATTATTATTATTATTTATTATTATTGATTATTATTATTATTATTATTATTATTATTATTATTATTATTTATTATTATTATTATTATTATTATATTATTATTTTATTATTATTTATTATTATTATTATTATTATTATTATTATTTATTATTATTATTATTATTATTATTAATTATATTTATTATTATTATTATTATTATTATTATTATTATTATTATATTATTATTATTATTATTATTATTATTATTATTATTATTATTATTATATTATTATTATTATTATTGTTATTATTATTATTATTATTTATTATTATTATTAATTGTTATTATTATTATTATTTTATTATTATTATTATTTATTATTATTTATTATTATTTATTGTTATTATTATTATTGTTATTATTATTATTATTATTATTATTATTATTATTTGTTATTTATTATTATTATTGTTATTATTATTATTTTATTATTATTATTATTATTATTATTTGTTTTTGTTATTATTATTGTTATTATTATTATTATATATTATTATTATTTTATTGTTATTATTATATTATTGATTGTTATTATTATTTAGTTAGTTATGTTTATTATGTATATTGTTTTGTTATTATTTATTGTTATTATTAGCATATACGTTAGTACTTATTAGCTTATCAAGTTATAGTTCATTTTGATCTATTATAAGTTATGGTTCGACTCTTTATTGTTAGGCTTTATCAGTTATGGTTCACTCTATGTAGAGCTTTATCAAGTTATGGTTCATCTATGTAGAGCTTTATCAGTTTGGTTCACTCTATGTGAGCTTATCAGTTATGGTTCAATCTATGTAAAGCTTTATCAAGTTATGTTCACTCTATGTAAAGCTTTATCAAGTTATGGTTCACTCTATGTAGGCTTTATCAAGTTATGGTTCACTCTATGTAGAGCTTTATCAAGTTATGGTTCACTCTATGTAGAGCTTTATCACGTTATGGTTCACTCTATGTAGAGCTTTATCAAGTTATGGTTCACTCTATGTAGAGCTTTATCAAGTTATGGTTCACTCTATGTAGAGCTTTATCAAGTTATGGTTCACTCTATGTAGAGCTTTATCAAGTTATGGTTCACTCTATGTAGAGCTTTATCAAGTTATGGTTCACTCTATGTAGAGCTTTATCAAGTTATGGTTCACTCTATGTACAGCTTTATCAAGTTATGGTTCACTCTATGTAGAGCTTTATCAAGTTATGGTTCACTCTATGTACAGCTTTATCAAGTTATGGTTCACTCTATGTAGAGCTTTATCAAGTTATGGTTCACTCTATGTAGAGCTTTATCAAGTTAATGGTTCATCTTATGTGAGCTTTTAAGGTACATGAGCTTATGGTTCACTCTATGTAGAGCTTTATCAAGTTATGGTTCACTCTATGTAGAGCTTTATCAAGTTATGGTTCACTCTATGTAGAGCTTTATCAAGTTATGTTCACTCTATATAGAGCTTTATCAAGTTATGTTACACTCTGTATAGAGCTTTATCAAGTTATGTTACACTCTGTATAGAGCTTTATCAAGTTATGTTACACTCTGTATAGAGCTTTAAGTATGTTCACTCTGCTATAGGCTTATCAAGCTTATGTTACATCGTGTATAAGCTTTAAGTTGTTGTTGCTCTACGTAGAGCTTTGTAATGTATCATCACTCGTGTAGGTGTACTAGATTCATCCACACCCCGTGTATGTGTGTACTAGTTCACCACCCCGTGTATGTGTGTACTAGTTCACCACCCCGTGTATGTGTGTACTAGTTCACCACCCCGTGTATGTGTGTACTAGTTCACACACCCGTGTATGTGTGTACTAGTTCACCACCCCGTGTATGTGTGTACTAGTTCACCACCCCGTGTATGTGTGTACTAGTTCACCACCCCGTGTATGTGTGTACTAGTGACGGTAGTTACCCCGTGTATGTGTGTACTAGTGACGGTAGTTACACCTTGTGGATCCCTGCAACGATAGCAACAGTGAACGTAGCGCAGTGTCTTACACACACTGTCAGTGTCTTGCTGTGTCTTGCTGTGTCTTGCTGTGTCTTGCTGTGTCTTGCTGTGTCTTGCTGTGTCTTGCTGTGTCTTGCTGTGTCTTGCTGCGTCTTGCTGTGTCTTGCTGTGTCTTGCTGTGTCTTGTTGTGTCTTGCTGTGTCTTGCTGTGTCTTGTTGTGTCTTGCTGTGTCTTGCTGTGTCTTGTTGTGTCTTGCTGTGTCTTGCTGTGTCTTGCTGTGTCTTGCTGCGTCTTGCTGTGTCTTGCTGTGTCTTGTTGTGTCTTGCTGCGTCTTGCTGTGTCTTGCTGTGTCTTGCTGTGTCTTGCTGCGTCTTGCTGCGTCTTGCTGTGTCTTGCTGTGTCTTGCTGTGTCTTGCTGTGTCTTGCTGTGTCTTGTTGTGTCTTGCTGTGTCTTGCTGTGTCTTGCTGTGTCTTGCTGTGTCTTGCTGTGTCTTGCTGTGTCTTGCTGCGTCTTGCTGTGTCTTGTATAACAGCGAATGATGAGTATATATGTACCCAGGGGTGTATATCTCAGTTTATATACACTGAGAGGTGTATACCTCGGTGTATGTACACTGAGAATTTACAGTAATCTCTGTTTTAGGTATCAAAATTATTCTTGACTGGGAGTGAACAGGTGACACGCAGCCTTAATGACCGTCGTACAGTAGAAGGGCTTGAAACCCAGAGGCGGTGCTAGGATGCAGAAAACAGTTAACGCTAGGAGAGGTTGCAAATTAGCTAGGATAGATTATAGCTATGCTAGGAGCGATCTTGATAGACATGAGAGAGAGAGAGAGAGAGAGAGAGAGAGAGAGAGAGAGAGAGAGAGAGAGAGAGAGAGAGGGCGCTGGAAGGCTGTCGAAAAATCTATTTTTAAGTCAGGCATCCCTCCAGTTCTCGTTGTTTAGCTGAAATAAATAAAGGAACATCATCAGTAAGCGGCAGCAGCCGCCCCATTTACAGTGTGGCCATGATGGCTCAACAGGTCCCAGGTGCGTCAGTACAGCGGCAACAGTGTGTGAAGACACCACACTCCTGCAACCACCTCACTCTGATTGTTCCCTAAGATATTCTTCTAGGATCAGGCAAACAACTC